TATATACTGTAAACATTAATACAAAATAACAGTTTAGGTAGGTAGGTAGGTAAGTTATACCCCACCAGGACATCACACAAGCGATAAACACCCGGTGAAATAAGGTGCTACCATGCGAATGAGGATCACCTGTGGAGAGGTCCCAGAAACCCTGTTCAGCCGTTAGGCCATATTTATTGGCCTGGCTATAATTAGGGTCCCCAGCAAAAGCCAGGGCGGGACTTTAAATAACGAAAAATTGCATCCCAAGTGTAATAGGCCAGCACAGTTTAACGATAATTCTAATAATCTCCCGATGGAGAGGAGCTCATGGAGAGGAGCTCTTGGAGAGGAGCTCGTGGAGAGCTGCTCTAGTGTAGCAGCTAGACATTCACCTGCAGATCTGACGGTTGTGGGTTAAAATCCAAAAGGAGCCGGACTTTCAAAAATGACCTTGGTTTACAGGTTTGCACAGTCTCAAATGGATCCAGGTAAAGTTCTTGGAAGTAAGATAGCCAAGATAATGTAGACCACATAACCCACAGAGTGCCGATTGGTCTATAAAATATAGATCTAGCCCTATGTGCCCAAAAATACTAGAGGATGTGGAAAAGGGTCCTGTAAAGGTCCTTAAACATTATCATAAGAGGACAGTTTAAGAAAGAAAACCACCTTAAACAATAATATAACACACAAACTACCAAAGAACAATACATAAAATATACTTCATAAACATTAAAATGACACATACATACAAAGAACGTATAATTAAACATTAGCATTAACAACATAGTTAAAGACAATACATGATATATATAAAACTGAACATAACATACGCTAACAATAAACATTTAAAGTATATAGATGATAGTGTTGGACCACGTATGCTCAGAAATAATACATGCAAAAATTAGGTTTGAGATAGTGGTGAAGATGACATGGTGACAATGACATGGTGACGATGACATGGTGACAATGACATGGTGACGATGATGATAATGGTCATGATGATGGGAGGCACCCACCAAAAAACATGCACAGACAAATACTGAATAAACTAGTGATTAAAGCACTGATATATCCATGTAAAAAAATATAGTGACCATCCTCATCATACTATTGTGCCATTATACATCACATACGGCTCACAGTCTTTTTCTTAATCTCATTTCATCCCATCCTGTGCAGCCATTTCTATAGCATGGATGGAATCCAGGCTTCTCCCATCAACGTTCACTTTAGGCATTCTTCTGTGTTTCCTCAATGTTTCCCATTTCAGTGCTTATTTGGTGATCCTTTGCTTGTTTCTTCTTGGGATATGCCCAGTATTTATATATATATATATATATATATATATATATATATATATATATATATATATATATATATATAGTGCCTTTTTTTCAGCTCTTGATGCCAGTGGTTGTTCATATATTTCTCTTATTTCTTCACTTTAACAATACAGAAAATACCCTGACTAAACCAAAAGTAAAAACAGAGCCAAGCTGTTACTAAAGGAAGTATAAACATACAGAATGAAATATAGAAGAAAAAAAAAGACCAACCACTGAAAAAACAAAAGCCTTCCAGGCCAGTGAACCTAGAGTGTGAAAAAAAACCACTAAAGTACAAATAAAGACGGTAACTAAATTGTAATCGAAACTAAGCATAAATAGTAAATTCTGATCACTGAACGAAACAGAGAATTAAAAAAAAATTATTTAAAAGCTCCAAAACTGCCATTTACAAGTTAAGTTTTTAGACATGAAGGCTTTCCATCTACTAAAAAGAGGCCATCAGATAACTATGTTTTTTTTTTTTTTACAGTACATCATTTAGTGGATGGTAAATTCTAACCTGATTTAAATACAAAACAATTTATTTGTAAACATATCATAAATAATTTAACAACCTACACTTGCTGTAATATAGTAAAGCTACACAGCTGTAGCTCAAACACTTTCTACAATAAATAAATGACTAAGGGTGAAGCTTTCAGACAGAAGATATTGACTGTCTTTTGCTCTCTCTCTCTCTCTCTCTCTCTCTCTCTCTCTCTCTCTCTCTCTCTCTCTCTCTCTCTCTCTCTCATGTGTGCTTTCCATATGGATCCTGGGGCGGGGGGGGGGACCTACTGCCTTCCCAATAAGCATTTTCAAAGAGCTGACTAATTAGAGGCTTCCTTCAAAGTTGGAGTGCATCTGCCTGAGATGCTATGGACCAGCAGTCTGCATACAAATAAACCAACTCTGTAAAACGAATATGCACACAAAACCCAAGTTCTGGAAAAAGATTAAAGCCCAGATGTGGAAGAACAACCAGAATCTTCTGCCAGAGTTTACAGCCAGAAGAAGAAGAGGACTCAAGCATGCAAACACATACACACTAACTTGACTGTCACAGCAGATCCATTTTAGTATGAGGAGGCTCCAAATCAGAACCTTATAAGTGTAACAGAAATTATAACAACCATGCCATTGTCTTGTAACCTGTCAGTATTGTTGTTGTTAATGATGTCAAGAGCGTTAAGCACAGGACATCCCAATGTAGACGTCATAATTACAGTTTTTAAATGGCCGCGCCCACTTTTGGCATGCACCTAAAGCAGCAGCCCTCTGTTACCCCATTTGTGATATCAGTGAAGGGCTGATTATAGAAACTCTTAACCCGAATGAAAGTCCAGTATGGTGGTAAATGCCTGCCAGTCCAGCAAATGTATAAGCGGAGTACAAAGTTTCAAAATTGTGTGACTTTTGAAACAGGCTGTTCACGATCGGGTCAGGCACATCGGGTCAGGCAGATCGAGAAGTGACCCCAGAGAAAGTTCCAGCTTGACCAGCAGCAGTCCAGTAGATGGTGTGGTTAGTGCCATACTGGTTACCATGACTCCCTTATTAAATTATCATCACCATTAATGCAAAGTGACGTTCTGCTAACTTAACTGCTGTCAAATTGAACCATGTGTGTCAGAATTTTCAAAATGCACGTGAGCCTTATGCCAAAATTGCCGAAATATAAATTACGACTGCCATCAAAACCAAATAAGATAATATATGAAACAGATAAACACTTGCATAAATCGTTGCATGGAATTGAGCTGTACAGCAAATTAATAACAATAACAGTAGTCTCTCATTAAAGTGTCCGGTAAAGAGGATTGGCTAACCTCGGATACTGCTAGGTCTTGAAAAATAACCTAGCTTTGGCGAGGGTTTAACCCAAAAAAAGGTACTAAAGTCTGGAGATGTGAAGCAGCGTTACCGCACACGGTTATAAACCATAAGTGCTCTGCCACCAGTATGGACAGCTGATAAGAAACTGTCCGCCTGTGTCGTCGTCTGCTACAGTGACGTTCCTCCATTTACCCCCAAGTGTTGACTCTGGTACCAATTTCCTATAGGCATGGTGAACCCCGGGAACTGCCCGGTTTTGAATACGGACCGTGGGCTGCAGCGAGTCGCAGCTGAATTTCAAAGCGAGTCTCCTATCAACTGTGCTAACACGGCCTAGGTTCAACCCAAGAACAGAGCCTTTAATACAGTTCCTCATATTGTGGTGACCCCCACCCCCCACCCCATCCAACAACACAATAATTTTCATTGCTACTTCCTAACTTTAATGAATTTTTGTTTTCTGATGGTCTTAGGCGACCCCTGTGAAAGGGTCATGCAACCCAAGAAAGGGTCGCGACCCACAGGTTGAAAAATGGAAAAACAAACATGTACATAACAACAGTCAGTAAACTAGCACTGAAGTGCACTGTACATGAACATGAGTATATTGTTCAAATTCTAATCTGAGACAAAACATAATATGGCCTTGATCTTTGAGCAGCCTGGGTTCAGTATAAAGGGAAGACAAAAGGCCATTTTTATTTCCAAGGCATTACTCTACTACCTGTAGACCTTTAGGCGGGCAGGCAAACATCTAGCCACTAGGCCACCACAGTTCCCAACTCTGTCAACATCAGCATGTCTCTCTCTCAGAAGTTGTAGCTCAAAGTAATCAAAGTTTGAGTCCAAAGAAGACAAAATAATGCTGTTAGCTCTCACCACATCCAATTTATCATAAGTCAGCTCACCGCCCAGAGCAGCAGCAGCAGCTGCCAATCTATCAGCCTGCTTATTACCCCACACACCCAAATGTCCTGGACAGAAAATCAATGATATACTCCTGATCTAAGTCTTATCAAGTAATTCAAGCCACTCTATGCCTCAGAAGCCAGTTTCTTTTTTTTCCACAGCATGCTCTGTGAAAAGGTTTAGTCTCTCACTCCTGTGAGACACATTCATATGAAGCACATCTTCTATGGTTCAATTGCATTATGAAGATTTTGCAACATAGCTACCATAAAGATAAGAGGTTTTTAGGTATTCTAGATTGTAACTGTATCATTGTTTGTTTGTGTAAAGGGAAGTAAAGGAGGTCAGTGTGATATTGACATCATCAGTTGAGGGCTAGTTAGGTCTACACAAATATGAATCTAGCATGCGCTGCTGGCTGAAAAGGGTCCTATACTTTATCTGTACAATAAAATTATAGGGTATGAATATCGAATCAATCAGGTGCCATCTTCACAACGAAGGTTGCTGTAATGAATCTCCAACACTTTGTCTCGTCTTGGTAGTACACTTTTTCAGACTGCTGTTCATCTATCAATTAATGTTTTCCTCCCACTTGTATCATTGTCTAGTTTTTTCTCTTTTGGATATGAATAACTATGAATAACTGTGTGTGTCAAGATATTGAACGGCATTTGCAGGTTTGAAGACTAGAGTTCAAATCTCTGGGAATGGCTCTGATTCTAGAAGCAACATGATGAAATCCAGGAAGTGACATCACAAGCAATCGTCAGTCAATCGAAGACACATCCTAGCTGGTCACTAACAAAGACCAACCATGTAATGGCCAGATGAAGAAAGAAAGGAAATGCAAAATTCTTTGCTGACTAAGTATTTTCAACAATAAAAACACTGACCACAAGTGGCTATTCTTTTGCGGTTATGGGATTACAGTAATTATCATGCCTGACTTTCATCGACAGCATCCTGGTTCATGGCATAAGCACCGCATTTCTTACTGGCATCAGATTCGGACTTGCACCGAGGTCTCATCTGTGCTGGCTCAGTCTCATCGACATCTTCATCATGTCTGGCTGCTTCATCATTCACATCCAACCAGCTAACTTGTGGAGGTGTTAGAGAGTGGTCTCCCGGAGTTTCACTGATAGGGAATGCAAATAAGGACTTGTTGGCGTTGCCGTTTAGCAAGCCTGCTCGTGACGGGCTCAGCGAGAATTCATTTCTGGTTTTTTCCAGCTGCACACTTAACCTGGCAGGGTGAATGGAAGTATTGATGCTTATGTGGCGAGTGCGCAGCAGCAGCTGGTTCGAACTGACTCCTCTTCGGTTGAGTTTGTTTGGCACTGCTTGCATTGAGCTTGGCTGGATGACGTATCTATAAATGCAGAAAGGAAAAAAGTTTTTAAAAAGTTATAAAAAAAATGACTTTGGCTCACAGGTTAACTTAATCTTAAATAGGTACAAGGTAAAGTCTAGGGAAGTAAAAGCGGTTGGTGTAATGTTGACCACATCAATTGGTCTATAAAATATAAGGTCTAGCCCTATATGCCCGGTACATATGAACGTGCGGAAAAGGGTCCTTTTCATTGTTTTAACTCTTTGAGTCCCATGGGGGTTTAGCATGAGAGGCCCAGGAGGTAGTAATGAGAGTCATAAAATCGGTGCATCATGCGTTCATTGGGCTTCTAGGTTGGAACCTATGAACGTATGATGCCTTCCTTGGGACTCAAAGAGTTAAAGACAAGTTTTTGACATGTTATGTGATAACCCACATACAGCATTCCTCAAAAAGAACTGTCACTTAGATGCAACAAATACAACATTTGCATGAATCAAGTAATAATGAAATCTGCAATCATAGCCAGGCTGCAAGAACGGCAAGTCAAAAGGGGGTGAGACCAGACAAGAAAACTTTGCAGGATACCAAAGAATAGTAAAACAACACAGAATTAGGGTGGTCAGCTGCTACACACTGGGAGATTTACTGAGGAGAGGATCCAAGCACTTATGGACCAAGTGATTCGATGTGCAGTGAAGATGAACTGTTGACCGATCAGGTAATTAGGTAATCATAGTTCCAACTTCCTAACAGATGGGTCACCTCGCAGCTGCCCCATACCTGTACCTCTGAAAACCACATAGAAAGGCCATTATTGTCCCTTGTTGAAAAACCTTTTACACACTGTAAAAAAAGTAAGTAAAGGTCCTTTTTCCATGTCTTTAGGCATACAGGACTAGACTTATATTTTTACAGACCAATCGGCCCAAGATGGGTGATGTGGTCAGCATCACACAGGCCGCCTTTACTTCCCGGGACTGCACCCGGTACCCACTCAAAGCTGGGTCGACCTGGAAGTCAAGGTCATTTACCTCTCCATCATCTTCTTGGTCTGCCTCGTGGTCTATGACCATTCAGTTCCCTTGTGTATGGAATTTTTACCTCTCTGTATCTGACATTTTATCAGTATGCCCCATCCATTTCAACCTATTAGCTCTCATGATGCCAGTGATCAATAGTGATTTAAGCAGATAATGAATTTCACTGTTGCTTCTCACTCTCCTTCTCCCGCTGTTTACATATTTAAAAAAAAAAAAAAAACCACACACACAATGTTTCTGGTTTTTTTCACCCATTAGAAAGAAAAAAAAGACAAGAGAAATAACTCACACCATGTCTCCATTTTTCAGCTTTCTCATTGGCGATGGATTCACGATGACGTATGATATTGTTCTGGCAGACTTCTGAATTATATCTGAAAATAACAAAAAGATCTTGATATCTTGGTAATCTTAGTTTCAGCTTCATAGCAAATGGGTCACCCCATAGTTGCTCCGCTCCTGTGCCAACCAAAACACACGGAATGTTTATCACAGTCCCTTGTGGAGAGATTGACAGACTGCTGTCTCAGCATATGCACTAGCATACACACGCATTAAAAGCATAGTGCTAACACAAACAGTCCAACATTAGAAATGCAGTTCATGGCAGCAGAAGTCACCAACAGATCAGCAGTTGCACAACCGACCAATTTTAATCACATAATATTAAACAGATAATTCATAAGACTTCCCTGGGCCCTATACTTGTCTTCAGGCTGACCCAGTCTGTCTTCACCCTCTAAACAACATCTCAAGCTAACCCAGTCTGTCTTTACCCTCTAAACAAGATCTCTCAGGCTGACCCAGTCTGTCTTCACCCTCTAAACAACATCTCTCAGGCTGACCCAGTCTGTCTTCACCCTCTAAACAAGATCTCTCAGGCTGACCCAGTCTGTCTTCACCCTCTAAACAACATCTCTCAGGCTGACCCAGTCTGTCTTCACCCTCTAAACAACTGCTCTCAGGCTGACCCAGTCTGTCTTCACCCTCTAAACAACATCTCTCAGGCTGACCCTGTCTTCACCCTCTAAACAACATCTCTCAGACTGACCCAGTCTGTCTTCACCCTCTAAACAACATCTCTCAGGCTGACCCTGTCTTCACCCTCTAAACAAGATCTCTCAGGCTGACCCTGTCTTCACCCTCTAAACACATCTCTCACGGCTGACTAAACAACTGCTCTAGGCTGACCCAGTCTGTCTTCACCCTCTAAACAACATCTCTCAGGCTGACCCTGTCTTCACCCTCTAAACAACATCTCTTAGACTGACCCAGTCTGTCTTCACCCTCTAAACAACTGCTCTTAGGCTGACCCTGTCTTCACCCTCTAAACAACATCTCTTAGACTGACCCAGTCTGTCTTCACCCTCTAAACAACATCTCTCAGGCTGACCCTGTCTTCACCCTCTAAACAACATCTCTCAGGCTGACCCTGTCTTCACCCTCTAAACAACATCTCTCAGGCTGACCCTGTCTTCACCCTCTAAACAACTGCTCTTAGGCTGACCCAGTCTGTCTTCACCCTCTAAACAACATCTCTCAGGCTGACCCTGTCTTCACCCTCTAAACAACATCTCTTAGACTGACCCAGTCTGTCTTCACCCTCTAAACAACTGCTCTCAGGCTGACCCAGTCTGTCTTCACCCTCTAAACAACATCTCTCAGGCTGACCCAGTCTGTCTTCACCCTCTAAACAACATCTCTCAGGCTGACCCAGTCTGTCTTCACCCTCTAAACAACATCTCTCAGGCTGACCCAGTCTGTCTTCACCCTCTAAACAACATCTCTCAGGCTGTCCCAGTCTGTCTTCACCCTCTAAACAACTGCTCTTAGGCTGACCCAGTCTGTCTTCACCCTCTAAACAACTGCTCTTAGGCTGACCCAGTCTGTCTTCACCCTCTAAACAACATCTCTCAGGCTGACCCTGTCTTCACCCTCTAAACAACATCTCTCAGACTGACCCAGTCTGTCTTCACCCTCTAAACAACATCTCTCAGGCTGACCCTGTCTTCACCCTCTAAACAACATCTCTCAGACTGACCCAGTCTGTCTTCACCCTCTAAACAACATCTCTCAGGCTGACCCTGTCTTCACCCTCTAAACAACATCTCTCAGGCTGACCCTGTCTTCACCCTCTAAACAACATCTCTTAGACTGACCCAGTCTGTCTTCACCCTCTAAACAACTGCTCTCAGGCTGACCCAGTCTGTCTTCACCCTCTAAACAACTGCTCTCAGGCTGACCCAGTCTGTCTTCACCCTCTAAACAACATCTCTCAGGCTGACCCAGTCTGTCTTCACCCTCTAAACAACATCTCTCAGGCTGACCCAGTCTGTCTTCACCCTCTAAACAACATCTCTCAGGCTGACCCAGTCTGTCTTCACCCTCTAAACAACATCTCTCAGGCTGACCCAGTCTGTCTTCACCCTCTAAACAACATCTCTCAGGCTGACCCAGTCTGTCTTCACCCTCTAAACAACATCTCTCAGGCTGACCCAGTCTGTCTTCACCCTCTAAACAACATCTCTCAGGCTGACCCAGTCTGTCTTCACCCTCTAAACAACATCTCTCAGGCTGACCCAGTCTGTCTTCACCCTCTAAACAACATCTCTCAGGCTGACCCAGTCTGTCTTCACCCTCTAAACAAGATCTCTCAGGCTGACCCAGTCTGTCTTCACCCTTTAAACAACATCTCTCAGGCTGTCCCAGTCTGTCTTCACCCTCTAAACAACTGCACTTAGGCTGACCCAGTCTGTCTTCACCCTCTAAACAACATCTCTCAGGCTGACCCTGTCTTCACCCTCTAAACAACATCTTTCAGGCTGACCCTGTCTTCACCCTCTAAACAACATCTCTCAGGCTGACCCTGTCTTCACCCTCTAAACAACATCTCTCAGGCTGACCCTGTCTTCACCCTTTAAACAACATCTCTCAGACTGACCCAGTCTGTCTTTACCCTCTAAACAACATCTCTCAGGCTGACCCTGTCTTCACCCTCTAAACAACATCTCTCAGGCTGACCCTGTCTTCACCCTCTAAACAACATCTCTCAGACTGACCCAGTCTGTCTTCACCCTCTAAACAACATCTCTCAGGCTGACCCTGTCTTCACCCTCTAAACAAGATCTCTCAGGCTGACCCTGTCTTCACCCTCTAAACAACTGCTCTTAGGCTGACCCAGTCTGTCTTCACCCTCTAAACAACATCTCTCAGGCTGACCCTGTCTTCGCCCTCTAAACAACATCTCTTAGACTGACCCAGTCTGTCTTCACCCTCTAAACAACTGCTCTTAGGCTGACCCTGTCTTCACCCTCTAAACAACATCTCTTAGACTGACCCAGTCTGTCTTCACCCTCTAAACAACATCTCTCAGGCTGACCCTGTCTTCACCCTCTAAACAACATCTCTCAGGCTGACCCTGTCTTCACCCTCTAAACAACATCTCTCAGGCTGACCCTGTCTTCACCCTCTAAACAACTGCTCTCAGGCTGACCCAGTCTGTCTTCACCCTCTAAACAACATCTCTCAGGCTGACCTGACCCTCTAAACAACATCTCTTAGTCTTCTGTCTTCACCCTCTAAACAACATCTCTCAGGCTGACCCAGTCTGTCTTCACCCTCTAAACAACATCTCTCAGGCTGACCCAGTGACCCAGTCTGTCCCAGTTCTCACCCTCTAAACAACATCTCTCAGGCTGACCCAGTCTGTCTTCACCCTCTAAACAACATCTCTCAGCTCTCAGGCTGAACCCAGTCTGTCTTCACCCTCTAAACAACTCTCTTAGGCTGACCCAGTCTGTCTTCACCCTCTAACAACTGCTCTTAGGCTGACTGTCTTCAGTCTAAACAACATCTCTCAGGCCCTCTTCACCCTCTAAACAACATCTCTCAGGCTGACCCAGTCTGTCTTCACCCTCTAAACAACATCTCTCAGGCTGACCCAGTCTGTCTTCACCCTCTAAACAACATCTCTCAGGCTGACCCTCTGTCTTCACCCTCTAAACAACATCTCTCAGGCTGACCCTGTCTTCACCCTCTAAACAACATCTCTCAGCTGACCCTGACCCTCTGTCTTCACCCTCTAAACAACATCTCTCAGGCTGACCCAGTCTGTCTTCACCCTCTAAACAACATCTCTCAGGCTGACCCAGTCTGTCTTCACCCTCTAAACAACATCTCTCAGGCTGACCCAGTCTGTCTTCACCCTCTAAACAAACATCTCTCAGGCTGACCCAGTCTGTCTTCACCCTCTAAACAACATCTCTCAGGCTGACCCAGTCTGTCTTCACCCTCTAAACAACATCTCTCAGGCTGACCCAGTCTGTCTTCACCCTCTAAACAACATCTCTCAGGCTGACCCAGTCTGTCTTCACCCTCTAAACAACATCTCTCAGGCTGACCCAGTCTGTCTTCACCCTCTAAACAACATCTCTCAGGCTGACCCAGTCTGTCTTCACCCTCTAAACAACATCTCTCAGGCTGACCCAGTCTGTCTTCACCCTCTAAACAACATCTCTCAGGCTGACCCAGTCTGTCTTCACCCTCTCAGGCTGACCCAGTCTGTCTTCACCCTCTAAACAACATCTCTCAGGCTGACCCAGTCTGTCTTCACCCTCTAAACAACATCTCTCAGGCTGACCCAGTCTGTCTTCACCCTCTAAACAACATCTCTCAGGCTGACCCAGTCTGTCTTCACCCTCTAAACAACATCTCTCAGGCTGACCCAGTCTGTCTTCACCCTCTAAACAACATCTCTCAGGCTGACCCAGTCTGTCTTCACCCTCTAAACAACATCTCTCAGACTGACCCAGTCTGTCTTCACCCTCTAAACAACATCTCTCAGACTGACCCAGACCCAAACAACATCTCTCAGTGACCCAGTCTGTCTTCACCCTCTAAACAACATCTCTCAGGCTGACCCAGTCTGTCTTCACCCTCTAAACAACATCTCTCAGGCTGACCCAGTCTGTCTTCACCCTCTAAACAACATCTCTCAGGCTGACCCAGTCTGTCTTCACCCTCTAAACAACATCTCTCAGGCTGACCCAGTCTGTCTTCACCCTCTAAACAACATCTCTCAGGCTGACCCAGTCTGTCTTCACCCTCTAAACAACATCTCTCAGGCTGACCCCAGTCTTCACTTCACCCTCTAAACAACATCTCTCAGACTGACCCAGTCTGTCTTCACCCTCTAAACAACATCTCTCAGACTGACCCAGCCTGTCTTCACCCTCTAAACAACATCTCTCAGGCTGACCCAGTCTGTCTTCACCCTCTAAACAACATCTCTCAGGCTGACCCAGTCTGTCTTCACCCTCTAAACAACATCTCTCAGGCTGACCCAGTCTGTCTTCACCCTCTAAACAACATCTCTCAGACTGACCCAGTCTGTCTTCACCCTCTAAACAACATCTCTCAGACTGACCCAGCCTGTCTTCACCCTCTAAACAACATCTCTCAGACTGACCCAGTCTGTCTTCACCCTCTAAACAACATCTCTCAGACTGACCCAGTCTGTCTTCACCCTCTAAACAACATCTCTCAGACTGACCCAGTCTGTCTTCACCCTCTAAACAACATCTCTCAGGCTGACCCAGTCTGTCTTCACCCTCTAAACAACATCTCTCAGGCTGACCCAGTCTGTCTTCACCCTCTAAACAACATCTCTCAGGCTGACCCAGCCTAAAATGGATACCAGGAACAGATTTTTGTCTTGATTTTCCTCTTCCTGTTCACTGGCTGTAAACTCCAGAGGAAAATTCATGTTGTTCATCCACTTCTGGTCTTGGGTTTTGTTCCGAAACTTGAGTTCTGCATGCATAGCTGTATTACAGAATTGGCTTATTTGTGTGCAGACTGCTAGTTCCTTGACATTCAGGCAGATGTACACCAACTTCAAAGGAAACAACTCTACTTAGTCAATTTTTATTATATATTTTATGGGGGGAGGGGGTGCGGGTCTATTCTTTCCCTTGCCCAAAATGGGCCTTGAAACCCACACAGGAAGGTTTACCTTTATTCTTTTTACCCTGTAGGTTCCAGTGAAAGAATATTCTATTCATCCTTTTATCAAGTTTTCTCAGCATGTGTCCTATCTGATGCCATCGTCCTTTCCTTCCCTCGTCCTTTCTTTCCCTTTTGATTCAATGGACTTTATTCAGGAGAGCTTGGCGGGGGCATACTGAGAGAATTTCAGATGACACTGAGGTGAAAACTTTGTACACAATGGAGTTGAATGATCATAGACCATGAGGCAGACCAAGAAGACGATGGAGAGGTAATATCCAGACAGACCTACAAACAATTGGTGTCACCAACTGGAAAGAGAAGGTCAGCCAATGAGATGAAGAAGAAGAATATTTACGTGCTGAAGCACAAATAAATATGAAAAAATAATTTTAAATAATGTAAAATGTTGAAACATATACTTATAAAGAGAGCATCTGCACATGGTTGGGAGGTCCTTTAGCTACTTAAGCTTTTGGTGGGTGGGTGGGGGGTGGGTGGGGGTGTGGGGGGTGGGGGGGGCAATTTGACATTCTTCTTTTGGCCTTCATTGTCCCAATGAAGCATAGGCCCTCAGCTAACTCCTGTCAAATCATCCTATCCTTTTCTATCGCATGCAGCTCCCTCTATGTCCTCCCCATCGTTTTAACTTCACCTCCTAGCTCCCTTGATGAAGCCAGACTATTTTCAGAAATATCTTCTGCTCCCAGGTCGTCCTAGCCCTAAATGGGTACCAGGTAAAGTCCTGGGAAGTAAAAGGTGGCTGGGGGATAAAGAAAGCTGGCATCATGTTGAACACTTCATCCACTGAATGCTGATTGGTCAAAAAGTTATAGGTATAGCCCTTTATGACCAACACCCGAAGGCATGGAAAAGATTCCCTCACTTCTAGATCCCTTCTCCATGTGTTCTTACTTATCCAGTCATCTCCTTGCGAGATGCAATTTTTCGTTATTTGAAGCCCTACTCTGGCTTTTGCCAGGGGCTGCAATATAGCCTGACCATAAATATAGTCTAGTGGTGGAAGGCAGTTTCTGGGACCTCTCCACGGGTGATCTTCACCCACATGGTGGCAGTTTGTGTCATCAGGTGTTTATCGCTTGTATGATGTCTTGGTGGGGTATAAGAAGATAGATAGATAGATGTGTTCTTTGGTCTGCTCATGTTTCTTTCCTCACCACTTGATTCAAAATAATTTGTCCAGCTCTTTCCCAAAGCTCAACATTAGGGATTCTGTAACATAACATAACCCTTGACCCATTAGGGTCGTGCATGTGTATTGATGGACGCACTAGCACATAAAACCTGCCATCTTTCTCTTTCTTCGACGTCATTAATAAGTGTTAAATAACTTAGTCCTTTCCATTACTTGATGTTGTCATTCCAGATTCTTCTTTGCCCTCCTCTTCTTTGACTACCCCCAATGTTCCTTGAAGTACAGTCTTTGCAATCGAATCATGTCTCACCAGGTACCCAAACCAAGCTAGCTTGTTATGTTTCATCACTGCCAAGAGAGGTTCCTGAATTCCTGCAAATTTGTATATCTCTGACACATTTATTAGTTTTGTGTTCCAAATAACTAATTTATAAAATGTGTCTGTAGCATTTACATTCAAAAGCCTGAATCCTCCTTTCCATTTCCAGAGATTCTATAATACCATTGAACTCTCTCTATTCTGTGCAGGCACCAGCCAATTTGACACCAAAGATAAACAACAACAAACAAACACACATACAAGAGCTTCTTACACGGCTGATCCCCATTGGCTAATCCCAAACTGCCCATCCTTGACCTGACCATATCCTCCAGGTGACGGTGACTGTTCTTGTCTTTGTCCACGAAGCCAGCAACTGAAGGATGAGACGACTTCAGGTTTCCTTTATGGTTTTCAGAGTTGTGAGATGAGCGAAATGAATGGCGTTTCGCTTTTACGTTGTTATTGTTTGTGAGTGTGCCATTGGCGTTTCCCTGCAGGAGAGAAAATATATAAGTACAGAATACATGAGTATATGGGGCCGCATTAGCACAGCCCATAGGAGACTCGCTTTCAAATCCAGCTTTGTAGCCCACAGCTGGTAGTTCCCGGGGTTCACCCAGCCTCTAGGTAATGGGTACCAGAGTTAACACTCTGGGGTAAATGGAGGAAAGTCGATGTAGCTATGCAGTTGGGTACGGACAGCAACACAGGTGGACAAATTTTTAATCAGCTGTCCGTACTGGTGGCAGAGCACTTGTGGTTTATAACCGTGTGCAATGACGCTGGTTCACATCTCCTGACTTTACCTTTACATGAGTATATATAAGTACAGAATACAGGAGAAAATTTAGGTACATAAAACAAGACAATATAATGGTACAGGATACAAGAGAACATATCAGTACAGGATACAGAAATTTATATAATCACAGGATACAAGAGATTATACCAGTACAGGATACATAGGTATGGTATAAGAACAGCATACAAGAGATTATACATGTACATGATTCAAGAGATATATCAGTACTAGATAGAAGAAATTATGTTAAGTACTGGATACAAGTGCGGCGTCCGTGACTAAGGCGTTGCGAGTCTGACTCGTAATCCAACTTACCGCGATCTAAACTCACTGCTGACTGCCTGGATTTTTATCATGGTATGGGACGTCGCAGGTCAACCCAGCCTCAAACGGGTACCAGGATGGGCTATCCTGGGAAAGTAAAGATGGCCGGCGTAATGCTGACCACATTACCCACTGAGTGCCGATTGGTCTGTAAAAATATGGGTGCTCTTCCCATATGCTCGATGCGCCTAAGGGCGTGTAAAGGGATCTGTACTTTTTTCTTTAACTGGATACAAGTATCAATACAGGATACAAGAGATTATTCAAGAACAGAATATATGAAATTATGTAAGTACACGATACAAGAGATTATATCAGTGCAGGATACAAGAAAAAATATATTAATACAGGGTACATTGGATTAAATCCCTGCAGAGATGTATATAGAGTTGCCAGGTCATAAATGTGTTGTGAGCAATGAAATAGCAGATAAGCTAGCTGGTTCTGCAACTGTATTAGGTCAACCGAAAGAAAGATTACTTTACAACAATTAGCATCTTTATGTTTAAATGAAGGATTGGGTGTGGGGGTGGGAGGAGGGTGGGGGGGGGGGGGGGAGGAATAGACCCACTGCCTCCTAACAAGTATGCTGTAAAATGCAACTAGAAGTTTGTTGAAATTGAATGTTGGGCCATAAGGTGCAGATATTGCAGCCTAGCTGTAAACCACAATATAATATGCCAACCACTGTTTTAAGTGTGAACGCACAAGAAGAAGAATAGCTGGTGTTATTATATGTGTCTCTTCAAATGTGTCACCAATAAATCTGCAGTATTATTCATCTCAAGAAACTCTTTTATTTTATACTTGATTCACCTTTTTCTTTGATTCCTTGTTCTTCTTCTCCTTGTTGTTCTTCTTCTCCTTGTTCTTCTTTTTCTTCAATTTCATAGATTGCAATTGGTGTCAGAAAGACCTGGTTTTAAACCACTGTGGACTGTGCTCCAGGACTTGGGTGTTGTGTGCACATCAGTTTTACAGATCAGGCTTATTTGTCTGCAGACTTTGGGTTCCTCTCCTCTCAGGCAGATGCACTCTTGACTTCGAAGGAAATGCTGATCCTATCTACATAGGCCAGGCCCCCAGTTGGGAACCAGCGATGGATGACCCCCAGGTCTACACCATGACCTGAGTGAGCCCTGGTCCTAGTTAACCAGCATGTGTAGTTCAGCACCTCTGTGTCCCTGGTAGTTGACTGACCTGGGGGGACAAACATTTGAAAGAGGCTAGATGATTTTCCCTTACATTAGTAAACTCCGGAGAAGGTGAGCTCTGTATCTCTGTTCTAAAAATAGCTATGGGAATTTCCCCAGTTGTTGATGACAAGCCTTGATACAAATCGCCATAGGTGGGAAACTGGGAGAGAGTGGCTCTACGAATTCGGACCTGGCAGAAAGGAAAAAAAAAAGCACATATTAAAAATAAATATCAACTGGTATCACCACAGGCTGATTTTCATGCCTTCCTACCGCACAAAGGAATATTATTGTCCAGAAAGACAAGAGTATGACAACAGTGTGCTCACACCTCTCTATGTTATAATAAAAAACTGTAGGAAAAGTTTATCTGAAATAAAAACTACTCTACATATTATTTAACAAGTTCACATAAACTTACATTAAACTTAAAATCTATATTTTTCATCCCAAGTCGGAAAACATCTGCTTGAGAAGTGAGAAACCAACAGCCTGCACACAAATAAGCAGATCTGTAACACTGATGCACAAGCAAAATTTTAGTTCTGGAACAAGGCTAAAGTCCAGAAGTGGACAAACAACCAGAACTTTCCGCCAGAGTTTACAGAAGAAAGTCTACACTTATCCAGTTTGTTACACTATTGTATAATTTATTCAATATTAAATAATCAAAGATATTTGACAAGCATAAATATCCAATACTGAAATAGGAAAACCCTCCATATATCCCAGTTATAACCCAGCTGGGTTGAACAGGTTATTGTTGTTTAAGTAACTGCCTATAATACTAGGCCTTTCAATTTGACATATGTATTACTCATTGGTTTATTTTTTTTATTTAAAAAAAAAAATAATTTGTAGGTAAATACTTTAGATACATGTTATGGTATTTTCTGTTAACACTTTGACAGTAAACCGACAAATATTTCACTCCACTAACCCACATTTAAAAAAAAAAGATGAAAAAAATGGAATGAATTCAAAAGCAGTGAAGAATATTTCATTACTGAGAGAATTATTTGTTTCAAAAGTATTCACATTTTAACCCTAACCCCGCAAGGTCACTTTGATCATGTGTAATGTAAACAAAAGAAGTAAAGACCCCCTATTCACGCCTTAGGAGCATCGGGTATATGGGAACAGCATCCCATATTTTTAAAGACCAATCGACACTGGATGGGTAATGTGGTCAGCATTACGCCGGCGATCATGTGTAATGTGCTTACATAGAAATGAATGAATGAATCAAGAATAGACATCACTGCACTCGGGACATTCCCACAAGTGCTCCGTCCCTTTCTTTACAAACCAACAAAAGTCGACATGCCAATAGTACCACTTGCAACCTGATTAACAATCTGCCTACATTTCTTCCCCAGTGTTGAATATCTTCTTCCCCAGTGTTGAATATCTTCTTCCCCAGTGTTGAATATCTTCTTCCCCAGTGTTGAATATCTTCTTCCCCAGTGTTGAAAATCTTCTTCCCCAGTGTTGAATATCTTCTTCCTCCGTGTTGAATATCTTCTTCCCCAGTGTTGAATATCTTCTTCCCCAGTGTTGAATATCTTCTTCCCCAGTGTTGAAAATCTTCTTCCTTGTATGGGTGCCAGAGCCCCATTGTGAGGGAAAACAAGAACAGACCCACTTCCTTTCCATCAAGCATGTCATTTGAGTCGACCAATTGGGGACTTCCATAGAAGTCAGAGGACATCTGCCCGAGCGGCAAGGAACAACCAGCAGCACACAAATAATTCCGTAAAATGGATGTACACCCAGAACTCAGGCCCTGGTACAAAGCCAAAGTCTAAATGGACAAATAACCAAGGCTTTCTGCCAGGGCTTGCAGCTGGTAAACATAGAAGAAGAAAAAGATCTTTCAAAAACCTCTGCTAACCCCCCCCCCCCTAACCTCCCCCCCCCCTTCCCCCGGTGGGTGCCTGTTCTATTGCACTGCTCATTTGATTCCAGAGACATGTACATCCACTTTATCATAAAGTAGTTGACCACTCACAGCAGCAGCAAATCCATCAGCCTGCTCATTGCCTCGCACACCTGAATATCCTTGACAGAAAATGCATACTATGTTCCTTTCTTATCCAAGTCTTTTCAAGTGATGCAAGACACTTATCTAGGATGCTAGTTTCTACTTTGTATTTACATATACAGCAGCTGTGATTGCCTAGTCACATTGTTGTGTAATTTGTGCATGTTGCCTGGTTTGTTTTAATGTGCTGCAAATTTAAAATGTATTACCACCCCCCAAAACCACCATGTTATACATTCCCATACCCTCTAGACAACCACTCATTTCCCAACCTAACCGCCTTCTGGTTTTCAGGTGCTAAACATCCTGTTACTGAAAAGATTGCTACTGGATGTGAATACTCAGATAAAATAGTAATACTTACACTGGACAAATGGCCAGAGTTTTTGCCAGCATCAATCCCAAGTAAGAGCCTCACAAAACAGATCAAATATCCCTTGACAAATGTCTGCAAAAAAAAAAATGGTTCTTGGTGTCAAAAGTCTGGTTAACAGTGGCTTGTCAATATCAAAAGTCTAATAACTAATCATTTACTGCAACACTGGCTTGTGTGTTTTTTCTTTAATTAATCCTCCTCCTCCTTCTGCTGCTCCTTCTGCTGCTGCTCCTTCTGCTCCTTCTGCTCCTTCAGCTGCTGCTCCTTCTGCTCCTTCAGCTGCTGCTCCTTCTGCTGCTGCTGCTGCTGTGTTTCTTCTTCTTCTTAGCATTCAGGGCTGTAAACTCTAGCAAGAAAGTTCTGGTTGTTCATCCACTTCTGGACTTTGTTCTTGTTCTAGAGCTTGAGTTTTGCATGCACATCTGTTTTATAGTTCTGACAGTTCTAAGCAAGATCTGTGAAGCAGACGTGCAGGCAACACTGAAGTCCTGGAAACAAGACCAAAGACAAGAAGTGGATGAACAACTAGAACTTTTTCCCAGAGTTTTCAGCCAGTGAATGTGAAATAATATTAATAATAAAAAGAAGCAGAAGAAGATGAAGCAGAAGCAGCGAAAGAGGAAGAAGAGGAGGAGGAGAATATCAACAGCAAGGATCTACATGAAAGGCTAACAACACAACACATGTTCTCTAACACTAAAAGAGTTTAAATAACAACACAACAATCAATATTACCTGATAGAGTAATCTGTCCAACATAGAAGAACTGAACACTTGGCCGGCAGCAAAGGGCAGTCTGAACATGTACGGTAAGTGGGTGACTGCTTGCTCCTTCAGCCTCTGTGGGTGTCAGTAACAAATCATGTAATAACAGAGCAGGCCTAGGTATGGATAGAGCAGTCATCATCAAAGATGTACTGACCAGGTTAGTGGATAATGATGAATCTCTGACACTAACACAATTGCAGGACATGGGAGTAAAGCATGGTGAAGCACGTCTATGCCACCTTTGAGGCAGAGACAAAAGACAGTAAAACCAGCATCTTTTAGGAACAATCAGTAGATGTACCTGGAGTGACTGCCACATATGAGGACTGACTACACATAGGGATGCCAAATTTGCAGTGACATCAACTGTGATAACGTAACACAATACATAACATAGCAGGCTTTTATAGTAAAAGAAGTTAAACAGCAGATGTATAAGAAGTCAACTAGCATAGGACTGGCACTATTTGCTGTTTAATGCTGGTGTATAAGTTAGGGGGAGGGGGGTCAGAGCACCTATGGACATGTGGCTGTGAGGATAACCCTTCTGCATTCACCTAAAAAAGGAACAGGCTCATTGTGATGTGGGTTTACAGCTAAACTGCACTATCTGTTCCTTCAGTCTAACATGTCTGATTCCAGCTAATCTGAATTAAGTCACCTTTTACAACATACTTGGGTGGGGTGGGGGAGGGGGGTGGGTGTGTGTGGCAGATCCTACATGGGGAGAAGATAACCCAGCTTATAACCCATGACTCAGAAGTGACACATATCAAACAAGAAAAAGAGTAAGTGAGTATGCAGTAGTGTACAAATAGAGTTCTATTGCACAAGCAGATAAAACTAGAGTTCTATCATACAACTAGAGTTCTATCATACAACTAGAGTTGTATCATACAACTAGAGTTCTATCATACAACTAGAGTTCTATCAATCATACAACTAGAGTTCTATCATACAACTAGAGTTCTATCACACAAGTAAAGTTCTATCACACAAGTAAAGTTCTATCACACAAGTAAAGTTCTATCACACAAGTAAAGTTCTATCACACAAGTAAAGTTCTATCACACAAGTAAAGTTCTATCACACAAGTAAAGTTCTATCACACAAGTAAAGTTCTATCACACAAGTAAAGTTCTATCACACAAGTAAAGTTCTATCACACAAGTAAAGTTCTATCACACAAGTAAAGTTCTATCACACAAGTAAAGTTCTATCACACAAGTAAAGTTCTATCACACAAGTAAAGTTCTATCACACAGAGTTCTATCATACAACTAGAATTCTTTCCCACAAGCAGAGTTCTATCACAGAGCTGGCAATACTACAGACATAACTATGTTACCTTTTCTAGTTTGTGAATCTTCAACATGTAGGTGTCTTTAGCCTTGAAATGCATGAACCTCATGTTGGAGGCTTCATTCACTTCAGTGATAATGTTGACATGTGGAAACAATCTGTCAAAGATAAACAAAATTTAAAAAATCTGAAACATTAGATACTCCTTAACTCTTCCGTAACCTGTTAAAGAGTGTTTTTTAAACACTGACTGATCTATCTTTGCTCTCAGGTCGATCCATCCTAAGTTAAGTTGAGCTGAGTTGATTCAAGAACTGACATCAGAGCACTCGGGGCATTCCCATAAGCGCTCCCTCCTCATATTCAGCATCCAGTGTCGAGTTATGCTACTAATGGTGCCAGTAGCATTCTGTTTAAACATCCGTCTTGCCTTTCCTCTGAGCCTTGAGCATCTGTCAGAACCCGATCCATTCTAAAATCGGTACTAAGTAATTGTCTGTGAATTAAAGGCAGGTCGAGTGAAGTTGGCCAGATTACCAACTGAGTGCCAGCTGTCTTTCAAAATAGATTTTGGCACCAAATTAATAAGGGTCCTTTATGTACCATACAGTAGTAGTGAGTATACTTTTACTTGGCACTTTTTACTTTTAGGTCCCTGCTAATCTGCTTTCATATTCCACATTTGTACACCTCATCAACAGCCATCTAAAGAATAAGTAGTGCAATTGTTTAAAAAAATTAAAACACAAAAAGTAAAAGTGGCTGTCAGATGTGCCAACACTAACAACCCCACACCAGAAATACAGCTCACTATTGGCGTAAACAGTTAATCATAAAAGCTGGCATTGCACCTGCAAAAGTACACACTCTTCTGAACATAATCGGCCACCTGCCATTTTAGTGCAGTTAAAAAATAAATAAAACAACAACACAGCTGCATCAAGCACTCAACTCAGTAGATGAGCAATGGAAACTTTGGACTCTTCCAGGCCAGAAAGGGAGAATGTGAATCAGCAAAACCTAGCTGGAAACAAACAGCTTTATAGGGCCAGTTATTGGCCATTATGGTCGAAAAATCACATTTTCGAATGGGATAGTTTTTTTGTGTGATTTCTGCTGACACAGGAAGGGAGCAGTTATGTGGCCACCTGTCTGTAATGATGTTGGAATTTAGACTAATGAGTAATTTCTTGCACAGGTGAGGTATTGAAAGATACTAACATAGAAGATATTCTGACAAGCATCACTTGACTGACCTGGACACACTTGACTGACCAGGACACACTTGACTGACCTGGACACACTTGACTGACCTGGACACACTTGACTGACCTGGACACACTTGACTGACCTGGACACACTTGACAGACCTGGACACACCTGACTGACCTGGACACACTTGACTGACCTGGACACACTTGACTAACCTGGACACACTTGACTGACCTGGACACACTTGACTAACCTGGACACGCCTGACTAACATGGACACACTTGACCGACCTGGACACACTTGAATAACCTGGACACACTTGACTAACCTGGACACACCTGACTAACCTTGACATACTTGACTAACCTTGACACACTTGACTAACCTGGACACACTTGACTAACCTGGACACACTTGACTAACCTGGACACACTTGACTAACCTGGGCACGCTTGACTGACCTGGACACACTTGACTGACCTGGACACACTTGACTAACCTTGACACACTTGACTAACCTGGATATCTTCTGAACGGTGATGATGGTCTCAGCATCACTGAGGTTCTCTTCCCCGCCGGGATCAGTCTCGATGTGGGAGATGACCAAATGCATTGCCTTGTTGACTCCAGCCACCAGAAGGTCATCTATACTGGAGGACAGCATCATGACAGTCACAGGGACATTTATCAGGCCTGATGACAGTACATAGTTGTTCCCTGTGTGGGTTCCAGGGTCCCATTGTAAGGAAACCAAGAATAGACCCACTGCCTCCCCAACAATCTTGACAAAAGAGTCGACTAATTGGGTGGGGGGGGGGGGGGGGGGAGTGCTTCCTTCAAAGTCTGAGTGCATCTGCCTGAGAGGCAGGGAACTAAAAATTTGCATATAATTAGGTCAGATCTGTTAAACAGAAGTGCATGCAACTCTCAGGTTCTGGAATAAAAGTCCAGAAGTGGACAAACAACCAGAACTTTCCACCAGAGTTTACAGCTGGTGAATGCAAAGAAAGAAGAAGAAGTACATACTTGCAATAACTAAAGGTGTTCCCTCTGTTACGAGCAAGTTCAGGTGTCTTACATTGTTTGATCATCCTCTTTCTGTGCTAAGTGTAGAGGAAGTGATCTTGTTTAGTGTTTCCTCTTCTAGCCTGGATTTGAATGTGATGGTCTTGCTTAAATTCTCCTCTTCTACCCTGGATGTAAAGGTGTTTTATTATCTTGCTTACTGTTTTTTTCTTTATCTATCCTAAAAGCCCCAAAAGCCTAGCAGCTAGTGCCCCCAACTGCGGGGTCAGAGTTCAAATACCCCTCTAAGCAGATCTGTTGATGGGCTTACCAGGAGATGAGGAGAGTGATCAAAGACTAACAACACATATCATCTTCTTCCTCTTCATTTTTGCGTTCACCTGCTGTAAACTCCAGCAGAAAGTTCTGGCTGTTCGGCTGTTTCCGGCTGTTCAGCTGTTTCTGGACTTTGATATTTTTCCAGAACCTGAGTTTTATGTGCACACACATTTTACAGATCTGGCTTGCACTGTGTGCAGATTGCTGGTTCCTGGCCTTTCAGGCACATTTATACTCTGAAGGAAATATCCCAAATTAGTCATTTTTTTATGATATACGTGGTAAGAGGGCAGTGAAGGAAACATCCCTAATTAGTCATTTTTTTATGATAAACGTGGTAAGAGGGCAGTAAAAGAAACATCCCTAATTAGTCATTTTTTTATGATATACGTGGTAAGAGGGCAGTGAAGGAAACATCCCTAATTAGTCATTTTTTTATGATATACGTGGTAAGAGGGCAGTGAAGGAAACATCCCTAATTAGTCATTTTTTTATGATATACGTGGTAAGAGGGCAGTGAAGGAAACATCCCTAATTAGTCATTTTTTTATGATATACGTGGTAAGAGGGCAGTAAAAGAAACATCCCTAATTAGTCATTTTTTATGATATACGTGGTAAGAGGGCAGTGAAGGAAACATCCCTAATTAGTCATTTTTTATGATATACGTGGTAAGAGGGCAGTAAAAGAAACATCCCTAATTAGTCATTTTTTATGATATACGTGGTAAGAGGGCAGTAAAAGAAACATCCCTAATTAGTCATTTTTTTATGATATACGTGGTAAGAGGGCAGTAAAAGAAACATCCCTAATTAGTCATTTTTTTATGATATACGTGGTAAGAGGGCAGTGTGTGTAGTTTACCCCCTTCCACCAACCCTCAAAATCAAGTGGTATAGTATACTTGTTGATAAATGCAGTGGTCAGGATTGCATGTTTATAAGTGGCAGCATTGTCGTGTATGTCTTCTTCTTCCGCCTTCTAAACCCCAATTAAGCATAGGCTCTCAACCAGCTCATATCAAATCATCCATCCGTCGCTATCGCATGCATCTCACCCCATGCCCTCCCCGTCTTTTTAACTTCCCTCTCTAGCTCCTTTCTCCATTTTTTTAGGGAAGGGGGAGGGGAGAGGTCTGCCTTTATTTCTAAACCCCTGTGGATTCCAGAGCAAAGACATTATAGTTATATTGTTGTCAGGTTTTCTCAACATATGTCTTTTCTAATGTCAGCACCTTTTCTTCACCTCTTGGTCTAATGGAACTTGTTTAGTTCTCTTCCAAAGCTCTACATTAGTGATTCTATCCTACCATTGTACTTCCTCTATTCTGTGCGGCACCAGTTAATAAGTGTTTCTATTTTAGTAACTGTTTTAATTGTTCATATTTCAGCTTCATATAACAGTACTGATTTAACATTAGAAATAAAGATGTTCAGTTTAGTATTAGTTTTGTCATGTATCTAACAGGTCAATATAAATGTGCAATACTATTGCTGATGTCCATATGTTATTGGTTTCTAATGATTGGAAAGAATTTTGATATCAGCTCAATAGCAAGCACCACTATTTGTCAAAGACAGTGGCAGCCATTTTGTAGGTTAAATTAAAAAAAATTTTAATTCCCTCCCCCCCCCCCCCCCCCCCCCCCCCCCCCCCCCCCCCCCCCCCCCCAACTATGTTTTTTGTGTGTTTGAACTTTCTAAATCTGATAGCTTTAGCACTTAACGTCTGACTGGCCTAAACTTGGCCATGGATGTTCTCTGTATATTATGCACAGCCTGACGTGGAACAACTGCAGTACATTGAGGGTAACTTGTTTATCTGTTACTTACAAGATTATTGAATTATGCAAAATACTGCTTGTTTGAAAAAACTATTTAAAGAATTACAAACTGTAAACTTAGCAAAATTAAACAATTTTACCACAGGCCCTAGAACATCCTGTTATGAACATATGTGCAAATCTTATAGTTAAAAGTGAATTGGCTGATGCAATATCATCTTTTAAATATAAACTTTTTTAGTATTCGGCAGCCATATTGAACATTAATTTGCATAACATTTTCACATTTCTCAATCAATCATAATTTGCAGTCCCCTAGAGTCCATCTGTGTGGTAAAAACCAGTCGTAATGCAAAAACAGTTTAATTTTAGCGTTCCTGAGGGGGTTCTGGCGGCGTCTGTGGCTAAAATGGGTACCAGGATGGATATTCTGGGAAAGCAAAGACGGCCGGCGTAATGCTGACCACATTGCTTAACTAGTGGCGATTGGTCTGTAAAAATATAAGGTGCACTTCCCATATGCCTGATGCACTAAAGCATTGAAAAGGGATCTTTACTTTACTTTGAGGAGGTTCAACCTTAAACAAAGGACCCGGTACAGCGTACCGGTGCATACCACCAGAAAAAAAGCATGTATCAGCAGAACTTACTTGGTGAGTGATCCTTGCAACCAGAAAACTAGTGGAAACGGAGCTATGGTCTGCAGGAAGAGTTTGCTAGGACTGTATTCAAGATATAAAGTAAAACTTGTTAACATGAATTAGATTAATGTGAATCTTGGGTTAACATGAACACAATTTAGGATTTCAGGAGGGATATATTATTCATAATATACCGATGTGCTTGCTTTCACCTTTGTCCCAGGGCATGCTGGTGTTGCTAGCAATGAAAGAGCTGACAGACTAGCTGGTTTTTGCCTTTAGTTGCAGATGGCCAGGCTGCGAATCACTCTGACATTGCTAATACCCTAAGGAGATCAGACGATCTGAGGATTCTGGGAGCAGCTGGTGTACATCTCTACTAGGATTGTGAGAATTAGGAATACAGACCAGCACAGCCAAGCATGGGAGAACATGATTCATTCAAGAAGTCTGGTTAACCCAGCATAGGACTGGCACTATAAACTGCAGGAGGTTGATGATTATGTTGAAGGGGGAATCTGAGCACTTATGGACGTGTCCGGAGTGCTGTCAAGATAATCCAGCTCATAACTCAATACATCTATTAGTCTGAAAGCTTGCTGAGAAAGATAAAGACAGGGATGCTTCGAGCAGAGTGGCAAGCTACACTGGAAAGGTCAGGGGTAGTGAGCATACTTTGGATTTTTTCTCCAGGCTATGCTGGTGTAGTAGGTAATGAATAGGCAGACAGATTGGCTGGATCGGCACCACTGGGTGGTTAATTGAAACATGACAAGGCAGATGTTGTCAAGGTCCTTTGGAAACAAACAACGGAACCACTAGAGAAACAAGATTATTAGAGAATGAGGCACCTGGGTGTAACCAGAGGGTCTGGCTGGCTCACTACACTCAGAGGAAAGGCAAGACGGACATATAACCAGATTGTGACTGGTACCATCAGTATTGGAACTCTGCACTGGCTTCTGAAGATGGGGACGGAGTGCACATGGGAATGCCCCGAGTGCTGTGATGTCAATTCTTGATTCAACTCAACCATCTGTTTGTTCCCAGCTAGCCTAATTTTTTTAACATGATCATTTACATGTCATGTCTCTTAGAATTCATGTTAATGAGTTTTTGCTGTAATAGAACCGATGTCTACTGATATCCAGACACTCCATATTTCTTCTTAGCATTCACCGGCTGTAAACACTTGTTGAAAGTTCAGGTTGTTCCTCCATTTCTGAATCTGGTCTTGTTTCAGGGCTTAAATTTTGCATGCACACCCATTTTACAGATCTGACTTATTTCTGTACAAATTGTTGGTGCCTCCTCTCTCGGGCAGATGTACTTTGACTTCAAAGGAAATGTTGATCCTATTCGTTGGCCAGCCTCCCAGATGGGAACATGTTTCCAGGATTATAAGGAGTCATTTTCTACTTTGCATCTCGTTTTCGTAACTTTCTGGGTGGGTGGTCTTAACAATGATGTATGAGTGAACAGACTGAGTGTCAAGTTGAGGCAAGCAAGAACTTTACGAGGCAAGCATGATTTTGGCATAGTTGGCCAAAAGTCATGAAAAGCGGACAGTGTATGTTTTGCTTGATAACAGTCTGGAGGGAAAGGAACATGCTATTTAAACCACAAAAAACAGTAGATCATCTAGTCTTGTTTCAAACTGGTCTTGCTGGAGGCTGAAGGGCATGAATTTGAATGAATCCTGAATTGAGCGCATGATTGCTTCAACTTACCAACCTGGAAAAACCTGGCTAACCGATCCATGACAATACAGAATGGAGGAATGAAAGGCAACTGTGACCATGTAGTTTCTGATGCCATTTTGTGACTTTGTGAAGTGCCAATGTAAGATGCAGTGACAGCGTTAATCCTTATGTTTGATGTAGGTACCAACATGCTTGTGTATATAGCCAGGACATTGGACAATTTGATCGAGAGGACATTGTTGCAGTATAAACTGAATCGCTATCAGCTGTTGGGTGTTTTCTCAATGTGTGTTCCTGGTTTGCTGTGTTACAGTATTTGAGAATAAGTCAGAGTAGACTGCATATGAAAAGAGAGTGAGGAGAGTCATTGCAAGGATGACCACAGAGAGTAGTAGATGGATCTTGACTAGTTTCTGCCCTAGTGCTGGTGTGCCACCAAGTGTGATTCAGAACCATGCATTCTAGACACTCAAGCAAAGGGACAGGGGAAAAAATACTAACAACTATAAGAACATCCCAATTTCCTTTCATTTCTATGTAGCATTCCTCCTCCACAATTTCATCCTCCTCCTCCTCCTGCTGCTGCCGCTGCTCCTCCTCCTCCGTCTTCTTCTTCTTCTTTTTCTTCTTCTTCTTTCTTCTTCTTCTTCTTCTCCTATTCCATCTTCTTCTTCTTCTCCTCCTCCTCCATCTTCTTCTTTTTCTTCTCCTCCTCCATCTTCTTCTTTTTCTTCTCCTCCTCCTCTTCCATCTTCTTCTTATCCTCCTCCTCCTCCATCTTCTTCTTTTTCTTCTTCTTCTTCTTCTTTTTCTTCTTCTCCTCCTCCATCTTCTTCTTCTTGTCCTCCTCCTCCTTTTTCTTCTTCATCTTCTTTGGATGACTAGAAGAAAGGACAGCTGAGAGACTGACCAGATATGATGCAGATGACCCAGCCTGTGGGTCACACTGACATAATAGCCCTGAGAGTGGAGGGTCTGAGATATTTGAGAGCAGTGTGTCTACATTCCTGCTAAGAATGTAAGAAGTGGGACTAAAGACAGACACAGTCAGGCATGAGAGGCACGTTGGACACAGAAGAAGTTTTGTTAAACAACACTGGACTGGCCCTATAAACCATGGAATGCGGATGTATATGCGGAAGGGAGAATCTGAGCACCTCTAGATGTGTCTGGAGTGCTGTAAAGATAACCCATTTCTTAATCATGACTGGATGGTTACTTACGTCTCCTCAAACATAATGACGATTGGACTTAGAGACAGCAGGCTGAGGTAGTTTGAACGCAAGGGGATCACAAAGTTGTACAGACCGGGGGAGGACTGTTGAACTGACAAGATGACCAGCTGGTTATCCCACCGTCTGTCTGATGCAATTTTGTATGAGCAGTGAGAACAAGCCTGCAAGAGAAGGTATCATTAAACATTAGCTGGTAACTTCATGTACAAGAGAAGGTATCATTAAACATTAGCTTGTAACTTCACATGCAAGAGGAGGTATCATTAAACATTAGCTGATAACTTCGTACAAGAGAAGGTATCATTAAACATTAGCTGGTAACTTCACATGCAAGAGGAGGTATCACTGAACATTAGCAGGTAACTTCACATACAAGAGAAGGTATCATTAAACATTAGCAGGTAACTTCACATGGAAGAGGAGGTATCATTAAACATTAGCAGGTAACTTCACGCACAAGAGAAGGTATCATTAAACATTAGCTGATAACTTCACGCACAAGAGAAGGTATCATTAAACATTAGCTGATAACTTCATGCACAAGAGGAGGTATCATTAAACATTAGCTGATAACTTCACGCACAAGCAAAGGTATCATTAAACATTAGCTGATAACTTCACATGCAAGAGGAGGTATCATTAAACATTAGCTGGTAACTTCACATACAAGAGAAGGTATCATTAAACATAAGCTGGTAACTTCACATGCAAGAGGAGGTATCACTGAACATTAGCTGGTAACTTCACGCACAAGAGAAGGTATCATTAAACATTAGCTGGTAACTTCACGCACAAGAGAAGGTATAATTAAACATTAGCTGGTAACTTCACGCACAAGAGAAGGTATCATTAAACATTAGCTGGTAACTTCACGCACAAGAGAAGGTATCATTAAACATTAGCTGATAACTTCACGCACAAGAGAAAGTATCATTAAACATTAGCTGGTAACTTCATGTACAAGAGAAGGTATCACTAAACATTAGCTGGTAACTTCACATACAAGAGAAGGTATCATTAAACATTAGCTGGTAACTTCACATGCAAGAGGAGGTATCATTAAACATTTGCTGGTAACTTCACATGCAAGAGGAGGTATCACTGAACATTAGCAGGTAACTTCACATACAAGAGAAGGTATCATTAAACATTAGCAGGTAACTTCACATGGAAGAGGAGGTACCATTAAACATTAGCTGATAACTTCACGCACAAGAGAAGGTATCATTAAACATTAGCTGATAACTTCACGAACAAGAGAAGGCATCATTAAACATTAGCTGGTAACTTCACATACAAGAGAAGGTATCATTAAACATTAGCAGGTAACTTCACATGCAAGAGGAGGTATCACTGAACATTAGCTGGTAACTTCACATACAAGAGAAGGTATCATTAAAAATTAGCTGGTAACTTCACATGCAAGAGGAGGTATCACTGAACATTAGCTGATAACTTCACGCACAAGAGAAGGTATCATTAAACATTAGCTGGTAACTTCATACAAGAGGAGGTTTCATTAAACAATAGCTGGTAACTTCATACAAGAGAAGGCATCATTAAACATTAGCTGGTAACTTTACGTGCAAGAGGAGGTATCACTGAACATTAGCTGGTAACTTCATGGACAAGAGAAGATATCACTGAACATTAGCACGTAACTTCATGTACAAGAGAAGGTATCATTAAACATTAACTGGTAACTTCAAGTACAAAAAAAGGTATCTCTGAACATTAGCTGGTAACTTCACATTCAAGAGACAATTATCTCTGAACATTAGCTGATAACTTCATGTACAAGAGAAGGTATCATTAAACATTAACTGATAACTTAGAGGACAAGAAAAGGTATCGCTAAACATTAGCTGGTAACTTGACGGACAAGAGAAGGTATTGTTAAACATTAGATGGGAACTTAATGAACCATCAGATGCCGTAATATAATTGTGTTATTCAGCTGAATGGAATTTTCAGGATTATTTCCATACAGATTCTTATCAATGAAGTGTTAATCGCACAGGCTATCTTGCAGGAGACAAAATGTTTTTTTTTTAAAGTAAAACAGAAAAGAAGTTTCATAAGAATAGTATTTGGGATTATGTCAATAATGGCACATTTGCCAATTTCTAAGAACATTTGTGAGGCTGTCATTAATTGACTATATTAGAAATGCTATAAATTAACTATCAAATAGTAGCAAACAAAATGTGCGTTAAAGCAGGGAGTGCATTAATCTAATACCATTACCAACATACCTCGCCCCATTTCAAACAACACAGCAGACGGGGCTCCTTGTGTAAGTGGCACAGTGTGCGTCTGGTTCCAAGGTTGAGTGTGCTTGGTGGAGGGCCAATGGTGAAACTACAGTTTGATAAATGGAAATATTGGTATGTGACATGTCTTGATGTGAATATAATGGACACAATAAATATTAGCTAAAAGGTTTACCTATGTTGGTCCTAGCAAACATCCAAGGGGAAAAACAACCATAATGAAAACTAATAAGTGCATGACCTTTAAAAAGGATAAATACACAGAGGAAGCAATTACAGGAGGAGCCAGATTTCTGTAGTTTGCTTTGACCAAATATAAAATGAAGGTTAATATAATACACGATCATTGGGTTTTAAGATAAACAGCCAAACACACAGAACACATTGTTGGGGACTCAAATAATTAACTCTTTCTACTCCAAGCAACACATGAGTATTGCTCGTAACTGCTTACAAGAAAGGTTTCTTCTTCATTCCTTGTCACATTTTTTTGTTAAATTAACCTACTTTAGCAGTATTGTTATATGCATTGTTTGTTTACTAAGATTGTGGCTAAGTCGATGCGAACGCTTCGTAATGCCGGAATGCCGGGTTCGATCATAGCTGCGGGCCATGCGCCTTGTGTTGGTTTCGACAGTGGTATCAAGAAAGCCGACTGTCCAGAAAGCAATGGCAAACTACTGGACGTAAATTTGCCTAGAAAAACCACACAACAGCCAGGGGCTGTTGGGGTTGGTTCTGCAACGTCCTGTAAAGGATAAGCAACTGGTTTATTAAGATTAGTATGTGGTCTCCTTCAGATGCAATATTAAAAGTAAAAGACATATTTCCATGCCTTCAGGCACATTGGGCACACAGACCTATATTCTATAGACCAATCGGCACTCAGTGGATGGTGAGGTCAGCATCACGCCAGCCGGCTTTACTTCCCAGATCTTTACCTGGTACCTGAGCAGGCAGATCGACTGGCTGGCTCTGTACCATTTGGTGGTGAACTGATGTATGACAAGTTAGATATTGTGAGGGCCCTTTGGGAGCAAGTGAACAGTGCGGAGGTGCAGATAGATCCTTACAGTCTAAGGAGAATGGCGCTCAAGGAGTTACCAGGGGATCTGGCCGATGCTCAACAGTCAAGGGAGGGATGAGACGGATATACAATCAGGTGGTTACTGGTACCATCGGAATTAGAACTCTTCACTTGCTGCTGAAGATGGGGACTGAGCACTTATGGGAGTGTCCCGAGTTCTATGATGTCGATTCCTAATACAACATTCAGCATATACCTGGTACCCATTTAAGGCTAGGTCGACATGAGAGCCAAAATCCTTTTTAAAAAAAAACCTGGCTCTATCAGGACTTAAACCCATGACCTTCCATCCCGCATGTGAGCATCTAGCCGCTACATCCCAGTGGCTCCAAGATGTTATATTAATTAATTTAAAATAATTATGTCTTCGGACAGATTCATTCTAAGTAACAACCTCGTGGGAACGAATAGCTAACAGAGGTGCTACACTAGTCGGGTGGTTAATAAACTCGCCTACTAACACAGTGGTCAAAGGTTCACTTCTCTCTAATAGTAGGACTGCATCCTTTCTTATAAATATGTATGGGGCCCAGAAGAGAAGCAAAGACTTACAGTCTTCATCGCACATATTCACTACTTTCAGTGTAGTGTCAGACAAGGGATTTTTTTTCTTCTGTCAGGGGTTTAAAAAAAAACGAAAACAAAAACAGTCCTAACCTTCACAGTCCATGGTGACAGCACTAGCCACTCAGCCCTATAATCGACGGGCTCAAGGACCCCCCCCCCCCCCCCCCCCAAAAAAAAAAAAAACACCACCACCACAAAAAATTGTAAATACAGACAGTAAGGACAGTCTGGCAGTGGGACAGTCTAGCAGTGGGACAGTCTGGCAGTGGGACAGTCTGGCAGTGGAACAGTCTGGTAGAGGGACAGTCTGGCAGTGGGACAGTCTGGCAGTGGGACAGTCTGGCAGAGAGACAGTCTGCCAGTGGGACAGTCTGGCAGTGGGACAGTCTGACAGTGGGACAGTCTGGCAGTGGGACAGTCTGGCAGTGGGACAGTCTAGCAGTGGGACAGTCTGGCAGTGGGACAGGAAAGTCTTGAGCATGAGGATTTAGGGCCAAATGGCCCCGATTAAAAATAAATCCATCCCTTACCAGGGACTTGAACCCGAGTGTTCTGAATAAGAGCCTAGTGTCCTTAACTGCTTGAAGAGCCACTGTCAAAAGGAGTAACACTGGTACAAAAATCTTCAACTGAACATGGACTACAGGGGACTTGGCATGGGTTGCTTGATGGCCTATGCTCCTCTGGGGTGCTTATAGGCTTATCCTGGATACAGTGACACTAATGCTCTTGTTGTTGGGTGGGTTGGTGGTGGTGGGGGGGGGGGGGGTGTGGTTTACTATTACCTGTTGGCAGATGTATGAGTGGAATGATGTATGAAAGGACAGAGCTTCTTTAGTATGAGAATGAATAACAAGGTAAGTGTTTCAGACACTGATTATTATTATTATTATTCTCCCTGCCTGCCTGCCTTCTTCTTCCTTTTTCTTCTTCCTTTTTCTTCTTCTTCTTCTTCTTCTTCTTCTTCTTCTTCTTCTCCTTCTTCTTCTTCTTCTTTTTCTCCTTCTTCTTCTTCTTCTTCTCCTTCTTCTTCTTCTTCTTCTACTTCTTCTTCATTTAAAAAATAACAAGATAACTGCACACACACACAAAGACACAAGAGGCAGACATGAGTACTAACTTGTCCTTTCCAAAATCAATCATGTGCTGCACTAGTTTCGACGGGACAGTTGCACCATGCACACGGTCAAAGGACTCTTTCTTATTGTCTGTAGTGATCTGTGGACCCTCACTAACCAGCCTGCCTCCGCCCTTTGGCAGCAGAGGCATTGCTGAAACAGAAGAGAAATACAGAATAAGACATCTTGAGAGCTTCTAGATGTAGCGACTAGAATCACAAGTTTTAGTAACATGCAACCTTCTAGAGACGATCTTCTTTCTTTTCTTTCTCCATTTCATTTATCTTTTCTGCTTTTTTTTAAAATTATTATCATCATCATTATCATCATCATCATCTGCTTCTTCTTAGGTAGATGATATGACCTGGTGATTACTGAATAAACAATGCTTGACAGAATTTCCTACAGAAAAACCAGTACTTCCGAGACATGTATTATTATTATTATAATTATTCCTCCTCCTCCTGCTACCTCTTCTTCTTCTTCTAATCATCCTCTCCTTTTTCTCCTTCATCTTCATCTCCTTCATCTTCCTCTTCTTCTTCTTCTCATCCTCCTTCTCCTTCAAGTACCATGTCAGAAGGAAAATCAGCAATTTTTGTTGTTGTTGATATTTTGGTGAAGTTGGTATTACTTTAATTATTATAATTTGCCAGTGTTTCTGCCGTCTCTTGAATAATATAATATTCAAAACAAAGTTTCCCCGTTGTAAATTTAAATAATGCAGACACAAACAATATATTGCACAATTTATTGCCTAGCAAATTTTGCTGTTTCTCATCTGAATTTCCAGTGGATAGATGTACAATGTGCATCTTGACAATGTGGTTTACATTTCAGCAAGAAAAGGATTCATTTTGTGCTTTATTAAATGTTGATTTAACTCTGTAGTAACGCACCTGACGAGATACAGCGAAATATGCCTGGCAATAAATTGTGCAAGGTATTGTTTGTGTCCACATTATTAAAATGATAAGATACTTTTCATAGTTTTTTTGTCTGCCCTACTGGCACTTGGCTCGTTGGTAGTCTACTGACAATCTATTACTATGACACACTAGACTCAAACACCTGCAGAGCTCTCAAAAATCTTTAATGTACAGAACAATATAACAAATTGCCTCAGATGTCGTGGGTGTCCCCACCCGAAACCAAGGCCATGAAGGCTTTACAAATCACCTTTCACACCTTATCATGTTCCCATGGATAGTAACTGGGCCCGAACCTACGCATATTCCATACAGCTCTTTCCTCTGTAACTGCACCTCACACTAGGACCAAAGAGCGTCTGTCAAGTGTGGGCAAAGCAAATAAGGATAGATCAAATCACAACAACCAAAATGAACCATCTGTAGCTACAAGACTTGTACTATCCAACCAGCTACTCATAAAACAAGTGACACAGAAGCTATCTCTGCCGAGTGTTGTATAAAACAGAAGTACTGCCACAATCTAATGCTGCTCATTATAACACAGACTAGCGGTCACTATGTCCTAAACATGATACATGGCATTCTATTTGTCAAACAATCACAAGTCACTAATCTCCAGTCTCACATCCAGGAAACAAACTCCTTGATCTTGAGCTCTCCCGCAGGTTTTGTTTCAAACAGACAGTTCAGTCCATCTTTGTGGGACCCTTGGCTACGAAAGCTGAACTGCTCATTAAGTCATGACTTTGAAATGTTGTCCGTCGTCGCGGTGAACTCTGGGTCAAGCCATTGGTCATGTAAGTGCAGAAAAGAGACATTCCCTGCTACCAAACTGGCTGTCCCATACCCACTCTAGACTAGCCTCTGACAATACTCTCTATTTTTGATCCAAATAACATACTCATAATTCAAATTTCAATCTAATGACCCACTCACAATTGAATGTTTGGCCTCAATAACAACTTAATTTTTATCCCAATAACATACTCAAACCCTTGACCTACTCACAATTTAGTTTTTGATTCCTGTGACTAGCTCCTAACTCACTCTTCAATGATCATAAACTTCCTAAACATGGACCACTTCCATGCCAGAGAGAGCAGTCTCTTACCTTCTAAACCCCTGCGGAGATTTTTGGCCAGATTTGATCCAATGTTGGAAGTAATTGTACTGAAGACAGATTCCTCATCGACCTCGTCTTGCTCTCCTTCATTTTCCTCCATCCATTTATTCATTTCTTTCACAATTAGAGCTGATGACAAAGTTAAGAGCAGAAAGAGGGATATTTATTTCACAAGAATCAATAATACAAATAAATTATGATATGCACTGACAAGGCAACATCAGCTATTTGATCCTAAACAAAATATCTTGGTACTCCTGTCAAATCCGGACGAAGAATAAAAAGCCTTGGACGACTTAGTCAGAGTTCTCTCCCTTGGGCGCACTGCGAACAGTGATCGGAAAAGCCACAACGAAACAAACGACACAAGCAACTTGGCAGTTAGACGCACTCACATAACTAACATCGTTATTCCGACGCACGACTTAGTTGCCACGGACGTAACTCCTGCAGACCTGTATGCCATAATGACAGATAAGTATGCGTGGTTGCGGTGGCTAGCTGAGCATAGTCTGATAAGGAACACGCAACCGTGTTCCTCGTGCACGCGGCCAATGTTCCTATGTCCCCGGCAAGCTGGTGAAACGCACCATTCGCCAACGATTGGGCACCAGCCGCACACTATTGGCGTCATATTTAGCAGAATTCCAGTGGCGCCACGCCCACAAACATCAGATTGTCGGCCACTATTTCTAAACCCTACGTCAAAATTTTAACATCTAACCCTAACCCTAACCCTAACCCTATCCCTAACCCTAACCCGACCCCTAACCCTAACCCTACCCCTAACCCTAACCCTAACCCTACCCCTAACCCTACCCCTAACCCTAACCCTAACCCGACCCCTAACCCTAACCCTAACCCTACCCCTAACCCTAACCCTTACCCTACCCCTAACCCTAACCCTAACCCTAACCCTAACTCTAACCCAACAACCGCATGATGATGACTACACAACCATTCACAATGCCTCACGAAACCGTACGCAGCCCTACACGCAACCGCAGGATGATAGGTAAGTGTGTCGTTTATTTCGTTTGTTTTCCGATTACTGTTCGGAGTGCGGCCAAGGGAGAGAACTCGTCCACGGCTGTTTTTCTTCGTCCGGATTTGACAGGAGAGCCAATATCTTCTTCTTTCTCAGCATTCCGAGCCCTTGAGGTTCATTGCTGCAGATATCACCCGCCTCCATTCATCTCTCTGGTTGGCCTTCTCTTTCTAGTTGGTGACAGCAAGTGTTTGCAGGTCTGTCTGGATATTATCTCTCCATCATCTTCTTGGTCTGCCTCATGGTCTCCGACCATGCATCTTCCTCGTGTATACAGTTTTTACTTCTCTATCAAAATATGGAACTCTATAGTTTTAAAAACAATTATGCATTGTAATTTCTAATGTCATTTCCATTCTAACATATGCCAGTGACAGTTGGAGAACAAGTAAAGATATTTCTTCTTTTGTCAAAATCTACTTGTGCCGCTAGGCGTCGCAGTCTATCAGATGATCGGCAACCGAGCCCGGGCGCGCTCAGTCGCTTCATATGCCGTGATGTTATGAAGTCTCAAGTTGTCCGTGACTCCTTCAATCCATCTTCAATCCATATATAAAATCCTTTTCCTGCTGTGCTATTGTATGTTACATAAGGCTTGCAGTCTATTCCTTCATATTGTTCATCCTGTGTGACCTCTTCAATGTCATCATCACCATCATCATCATTATAAACTATTTCTGTTGTCAAGAGTCATAGGAAGAAACAATTTGTGGCTGGTGTGCATTGGCTGGCACTAGCTACCATCGTGCTGTGAAGGCATAAAGTATCTTTAATGTTGTTGATCCATTATTTGTGTGGCAGTCCTCTTGCTCTTTGAGCTGATCTTCTGAGAGGTAGTGCCTGTGATGCTGTTTGATGTTGCTGCCTTCTAACAAAATAGCCAAACCACCTGATCCGCTGTTTCTTGATGAATCTAGTATAAGGTATGGATGTAGTAGATTCAAACCAGTCCAGAATCCTTAGCTTCTTTAATTAACATTTGTTTCTAGTACTTTCTTTGGATGTCCTCACTTCCTCAATCCCTTTACTAAAGACATAAAAGCAAAGCAAAATTCTTTTAAAAACAAATATCTGAGGAAGTGCTGAACATTAAATGGAATGAAAGATGAAAAAATTATAAAAATATCTTAAAAAACACCTCTGGTATCAATATTTGAACAGAAAAAAAAAAGGATCAATACTGGGCACATTCAGAGATTAAACAAACAATGAATCACACAATACGCACTGAAAGGAGAAACAAAAGGACTGATGCGCCTTATCCAATAAATCTAGGCATCCAAATCACCACCCTGAATACAATGGGGAGTATATAAAACATTACCAAGTTTCTTTTCTTGTAACAGTGAAAATAATATGACTGTATGGAAGCCCAGTAAAATACAAGTCACATGTGGCATGGTACCTTTAATCCACTCAGCCCCACTTGCATATCTTCTTCCGTGGTAACCCTTAGAAGTGCGGCTGGCTTGTTGTGCTGTGTCTTACAGCTAGGCTGTATTATCTGCTACTTTCAGCCCAAGATTTTTGATTTCAGCAAACTTTTAAAGTAGTCCCCCCCCCCCTCTTCCCTCCCCCCCTCCCTCCCTAACCCCTTTTTCTTTCTTTTTTGGGTTTGAGAAACGCACGCAGATGTTAACATGTTTATAGGAAGACAACTCTGTGCGGCTTCTAGTGTCTCTCTGTAGGAGAAAGAAAAAATTAATAGACAGACAAGTATTTTATAAAAGTTGACTAATTAAGCATGTCTCCTTTGAAATTAGATTGCATCTGCCTGAGGGGCTAGACACCAACAGACTGCATACAAAAAAAGCAAGATCTGTGAAACAGATGTGCATGCAAAACTCATTCTGGAATGAGACCAAAGTCCAGTAGTTGATGAACAACAAAAAATGTCTGCTACAATTTACAGCCAGTGATCCAGAAGAAAAATAAGAAGAAGAAGATGATAATGGTGATGATGATGATGAACATGAATATCTTCTAGAACAGACAAGACTCACCAATGTTCTTCTCCCTAGCATCACAGGGAGTGTTCTTCTGCTCCAGCAGCCTGGACGGGATCTTCATGCTCTCCTCCCTGGTCACACTCAGGTAGAAACAGTAATCAGAGCCTTTGAGAATGTACTCTGGCCCAGGGTTCAGCTGCAGCTGTGGCTCTGCCGTTGTGTTATCACAAACAGCCACTAGATTCACACCAAATCTAAGAATGTATAAACACAACAGCCATTTTATTTTCTTCCTTCTTCCTTCTTCTTCTTCTTCTTCTTCTTCTTCTTCTCTTTCTCCTCCTTCTCCTTCTTCTTCTTTTTCTTTTTGTTCTTTTTCGTTTTTTTTTCTTTTCTTCTTTTTTTTTTCTTTTTCTTCTTCTTCTTCTTTTTCTTCTTCTTCTTTTGCCTTAAGAGGGTGGATGGCACACTATGTTCTAATTCACAACTAGTTATCTAGCTGGCACCTTTCAGTCTTTGCAGACGATAGTTTTATATTGCGCAATGAGAAGGCATGGGCTTATTCCTCAAGCGGAAGACAGAGAAAGATAGCGGGTTTTACATGCTAGTGCTTCCATCAATACACCTCCACGACCCTTATGGGTCAAGGATTATATTATGTTATGTATCTAATTTCAGCAAATCTACATTTAGTTGCCTTTTCTGAAATGGTTTTTAAAGGAGCGGTGCGTCCGGCTAGACTGCAACAACTACGCTGTTTGGCTGCACATCTAATTTCAGCAAATCTACATTTAGTTGCCTTTTCTGAAATGGTTTTTAAAGGAGCGGTGCGTCCGTACTTCCCCCCCCCCCCCCCCAAAATGAGCCCACACTGGGAATTGTGCTGTCAAAATAGCTACTGGATTCACATCAATCCGAAAGAAGAAATATGTTATCCCAAACACCGACCATATTTACACCAAAATTTAAATAAAATGGTGTCTCAGAATACATCCACTTTCTAAAAAGTTCAGCTTGATATCAGTCCTGTTAGTCATGAAAGAGTTTGCTTGGTATACAACCTTTGTTTGGAATACAAGAATGACTCGCATGCAAGAATTAGTGAGCCTCAGACAGGTCAGTGTAGAGCAAAGAGACAGGGGGAAAAAAGAAAGAGACAAACACCAGAATTTCAGATTTCCCAGAACTCTCCTTCCAAACAGTAACGTCTCCTATGTCTCCCTTTCCAGCACTTAACTATTCTCAGCAACGGTCAAGTTTGATTAAATGTTCATTTATTTCATCTAATTGCTTTTGTATTTACACATTTTAGTATTAAGCAGTGTTTACATTTTTTGAGACACATTTTAGTATTAAGCAGTGTTTACATTTTTTGAGATCACCAAACAGGCAACGGGAAATAAATGAAATAGGAAACAAACTGATTAGGGAAATGAGGACATCAAAGGGAAACCCTGAAACATTCGCTGATGGGAGAGTCTAAAGTTGTTCACCGGATTGCATCCCTGAAAGGACTGTACAGGATAAAATGAAAAGCAAGAACAGCTCTCTGCTATAAATATTGATGCAACAGTGAGATAAGGATAATGAATGAATACACAAAAGCATGGCTTCTTTTTCTTCTTTTCTTCCCACCATTTACCTCAGCGTGGTGTTTGGGATAGATGTAAGGATCATTGTGTGCTTTTTCCAATGTATTGTACAAGCTGGTGTTCATTCATGTTTGGTTGCTCCTGATAATGTCACTGCATCTCTTGTGTGGTCTTCCTCTTGCTCTGTGTTCATTTTATTTCTTCAGCGTGGCTCTTTATGGCAGTTGGTACCAGGGCATGACTAATGCAACTAAAGGCAAAATCATTTTATCAGAAACATAAATTAGTTTAAAATATAAATTATTTTATTTTAAACATCATTCTGTATCTCTGTTTTCATTACCTGTCTCTCCAGAACCTGTGTATTTGATGATATAATTTTTGTTTCCAGGAAATATATTTTCTACATTTTTAGAGGCTCAATTTTCTGCATGCCAAACCAATCTGGTTACTTCAGTCCCCTATTCAATAGCTACAAAAGTGTAAACTGACTTAGTCTTAGTCTTAGTCGAGGTTTCAACATCAGCGCAATCGGGTTTTCCCATATTTTCTCCATTCCTGTTCCAATGCAAATCAAATTAAATGTTTCTCACTGTCGCATTTGAACACCTGGTGAACAATCAGTCCGGGAACAACCCAGAAATATTTGCATGCAGTAAATGGTAAATGTGTTTTTCAGTTGCTAGAGGTGCCAAAGCCAACAATCATTACCAGAAATGCAGTTTGTCGTTGATGAAAGTAGTCAGGCAAGATAAGCTGCTTCCTGTACACATGTATAATTATCACATAAGGTATTTCACCAGCTCACATGTAAACCCGCTGCCATATTGAGCACCATGACACAACAAATGCACAAATGAAAGGCGTTCCATAGGAAAAACACAGCTCACAGGGCTGCAACGAAGCACTAAACTCACTAGCTCGGGCAGCGAAACCGTAGGCCACCATCCTTATGTAGAAACTGCATTAGCAAAGTGCTGTCGGAAGCAAAAATAACTGAAACTTTACATTTTGCCAAGCCTTTCCTCCATTTTGGCCTGAACTAATACATAACTATGTAAATTGACTGATCAAATCAAAGATCTCATACCCTTAGTAAAATGCTCATTTCTGGCTGCTCCAGACTGTTCGCCATTTAGCCAAAACTAGACAGAGAAAACGAGTCCTGGTCATAATAATCTATGCAATATGGCACTGATGTCAGTGCTTCGGTACAAAGCAAGAGCAGTTATAATAACAGCAGCATCTGCCACATAATCTGCATACTCATTGCCTTGAACACCAGCATGACCTGGCACAAAGATAAAAGATTAGGCAAACCAAGACACTGTCAATTAAAACAAGAATACACACAATGCCCAGTGACCTCTGGCTACTCACATTCCTCTAGAAGTATGCAGAAGTAGCGTGACCAGCGTGGACAGACCTGGGTACAGACAGTTGTTGGCCAGCAGGGCGAACTTAAACTCATCCTCACTGACCACGTGTTCTGAGGAGTGGACAGGACAAATTGGTTAACTCTTTCACTCCCACTAGATGACAACATCTGCTCTATCAGGGTAATCATGAGAATAGTTGAGTTGAGTTAAAAATTGACATCACAGCACTCAAAGCATTTGCATGCGCGCTCCGTCCCCATCTTCAGCAGCCAGCGCAGAGTTCCAATACTGATGGTACCGGTCAAAATCTGGTTATTTGTCCGTCTTGCCTTTTCTCTGAGTGTAGTGAGCTAGCCAGACCCTCTGGTTACATCCATGCGCCTCACTCTCTCCAGGCCATAACAATCTTCTTTCTCTACTAATTCCGTTGCTTGTTCCCAAAGGGCCTTGACATGTATCAGTTCACCACCAAGTGGTGCAGATTCAGCCAATCTGACTGCCTGTTCATTGCCCACATGAGAACAAGAAAACAACAGGAGTGTCTATTCCTTACCAGAAGTAAGGGCAATATCAAACAAATGGATCATAACTGAATGTACAGTTGAGGTCAATGACATTAATTTGGGACATGCATAAAAAGTCAAATTCAAGACAAGTGAATAACACAAGAATTCCTCATTGGGTTCCGGGGCCCCAGTGTGGGAAAACAAGAATAGACCCACTGCTTCCCCAACAAAGCATGTCGTGTGAGTCAATTACCTTGTGTGCATTCTTCAAAGTAGGAGGTAGGAGTGCATCTGCCTGAGAGGCAAGAAACCGACAGTCTGCATACAGATAAGCCAGATCTGTAAAACAGCTGTGCTTGCAACACTCAGGTTCCGTAACAATACTGATGTGTGGGGTTGGACGAACAACTAGAACCTTTTGCAGGAGTTTACAGTTGGTTATTGTAAAAAAAGAAGAAGACACAAGAATGCATTTGCAACACAATGATTTAAAAAAAAAAAAAACATAATGGGAAAAACAAAAAAGAACTGCCTGTGTAACTAATAACTGTTATTAGTTAATAGAAAAATTAATGTATGTGCTGCAATGAAAAAAACAATGTAGCTGAGTGGTTAAATCATCTGCCTTATGCTCTGTCGGTGTTGGGTTTGTAAAACAGACCTCGTTATTCAGGTTCATCTTATTTTATGAAGACAGAGATCATCACTAGCGATGTGTGTGCTCTGTATGATGATTCTGGCAGGTGGCTGCCAGTTTTATGAAGAAAGTCTGAGCCATGTGGGATAAACTCAGTGCAATGAGGCATATTCTCTCTGCTTTAAACTTCGACAGGACGAAACTGGTGTTCTTTGTGAATGTAAAACAATGCATGTAGCACCCACACAAAAATTTTTTAAAATGCAGCATATACAATTCAACAGAGAATTCCAGAGAAATTTGAATAAAAAGCTCAACAAAATGGGGAAGCAGAAAAATGTGCATAAAACAACACAGCGTAAGGTTTTGGCCTGGCAGCCTTTTTCAAACATAAGTGAACTACACAAACGTAATAACGAGGAGAGGAGAGTATGTAGATCTCTAAGTGGTGACATGAGCAACCTTTAAAAAAATGTGGTGTGGAATAAATGAAATAAAATAAAATAAACAATGGCTAAAAAATATAGTCACAAAAAAATAATAAACAGTAGTATTGTTAACAAAAAAATAATAAACAGTAGTATTGTTAACAAAAAAATAATAAACAGTAGTATTGTTAACAAAAAAATAATAAACAGTAGTATTGTTAACAAAAAAAATAATAAACAGTAGTATTGTTAACAAAAAAAATAATAAACAGTAGTATTGTTAACAAAAAAATAATAAACAGTAGTATTGTTAACAAAAAAATAACAAACAGTAGTATAAACATTGTTGCACTTTTTAGTCAAATTTCTCTGGAATTCCTTGTATTAGCTTGACTGCAGTCACCCCCATTTTTTCACAATTCAACAGACCATATGGCAACCATAGGGTGCTTTTGCCTCAATCCTATATCTTAGGAAGCCATGGCAGTGGTGTAGTGGCTATATGCTTGCCTGTCTGCTTAAAGTTCTTGGGTCAAATCTGCATTGTCAGGCTTAAAATGTACTTGGTTCCTAGATCATCGGGTACCAAATAAAGTCCTGGAGAATAAAGGTGACCAGCGTGATGTTCTTCTTCTTCGCGTTCACCAGCTGTAAACTCTGGCAGAAAGTTCTGGTTGCTCGCCCATTAATGAACTGCAGTCCTGCTCCAGAA